GCAGCTGGTGTCACGTCGCGTGACGAATTCGAAGGAGCTGTGAAAAAAACTTAGTCAAATACGATATAATAAAGAGTCCGAAATTGGTATATAACGCGTATACACCCGCCGCGCGGTGATTTCCAGGATGTCAGAAAAGGCTGGTGCGATACGCCAAATTATTTTAAATAAAAAATAAAAGAGAAGAAAAATTCCAAGGAGTGCGACAGAAGGAAGGAAATTGACAGCAACTGCCTGGGGTTCTGTGTCATTCGTTCATTTTGATTCGTCACGTGGGTTCGAGTCAACTTCCACTTTTCTACCCTTGATTCGATTCGGGCGCGTGTACCGCTCTGGGAACATGAGGGGAACGCTCGATCATCCCCCGGTCTATTGCCAATGCTCCGCCAGTGTGTGAACAATGGCAAGGGCCTGGGTACCACCACTTATCGATGAAAAATCCACTCATTCTGTCTCTCTTCGTATTCCAGTCAATGGAGAACGCCTGGGGATCGCACACACCTTTGCCTCCTCCGACGCTGTACCAACCGCTCTTTTTTTTTTTTCATCTTTCTTTTTTCATTCACTTTTTCTTCACCACTGAAAAAGCCTGTGTCAACACACATAGAGCTATTTTTTTACGATGAGTGGATAATACATTTAACAAACACTTATGCCGCGGGTAAATATGAACCTGCGCGGATATATCTATATTTTCCGGGTACAAGTGCCATGTTTAATGCATGGTGTTTGACTTTGTTATTATCGTTTTGTACTGGCAAATTTTTGTCGAAGTTTCCAGCACCGAAGAATACCCTGAATCGTTGAGTGGGTTATGGTCCTCGGGTTGTCACGATTTTATGGGGATGCGTAATTCGGGATGGATCAACATTTTTCAATCTCGTGGTTTTTGGTGGAATAAACTCGTACCTTTTATCAATTTCATTTTTATTTTAATTTTTTTCATTTGTTACGACATGAGGATAAATTCAACCATTTATTTCCGCGCAGTCGTGCACAATTTAATTATGCTATCTATTATTGTTGTTAATTACGTTGGGGATATTTTCATAATTGATTCATCTTGTGCTGCTATTTGTGGAATGAAAAAAATCGTAAATCAGTGCAACAACTCATTTTGATTTCTATCTTGGGCGGACTATCTCCAAGATTCCGTCAACTGAATTTCAAAAGCACCTCCCTTCTATTTTCGTCGGCGTTTTCACAGTAATACATACATACTCTCTACTTCTCTTGAATAATATCATGAGGTCAAATATATGTGTGCCTGGAACGAAGTTTCTTGCTGTGGCTGAAAAGCCAACAATTTCCACCCAACTCGACAGTGGAGCATGGGGCGTATACCGTTCCAAAACTACTTGCGCTGAATGCTTCGGAAAGTTAAGAAATTCCCATGTCAAAAGGCAGGGGCATGGGGAGGGAGGCAGCCAGGGGGACAGGGGGAGATGAGGGCAAAGTGTGCTCTATAGATGCCTCACGAAAAACTTTTCCAACTCCGTGATCTCATATGCCAACCCGAACACTGCAAGTATTTTCACCCAACATCACTCATAGAGTCATTCTCCTGAGTATATGTAGATTTATGAATTTTTTACGAGGCACTACATTCATGAAACTTTCTTTCTCAATTTCAGCGATATGAAATTGAGGCCACATTGTTCCTTCATTTCAGGAACAATTGCACGATAAGTACATCGTAATGGGACTGCCCACGCGTAAAAATTCAGATTTTAGGAAATTTTTTTTCATTCCTTCCATATTAAATTGATTACGTCTCTATTTACAGGAGAGCCTTTTTTTATACTCAATTTATAATTTCGGTAGGTAATTAAAAAAATTTTTTTTCTGTAGATTCCCTTAGGTGACGCGAAAATAAAAAAATTGCAAAAATGCTCGACAACATAATTATCGGAGTATGTGTCTGGACGTGGAAAAAAAAACTACGAGACAAAATCTGAGAATTTATTGAATCGTCATTTCAACGGACAACAAGTCTGTATTCTCCTCCGACCTCATTACAATTCAATCTCACCGAGAATCCCACAAAAGACTGCCATTATCCCGAAACCTAAAAGGAATGTATTCCACTTCCTTATCCGTGGATCATTAAAATAACACTGATGATCTCTATCACGAGATCCTCAAAACCAGCGAGAAGTCTCGGGGTTAAAAACATTCCATAAATAAAAAAAATAAGAGAGAAGAGGGAGAGAGAGAGGGAGAGAGAGAGGGAGAGAGAGAAGGAGAGAGAGAGAGAGAGAGAGAGAGAGAGAGAGAGAGGGAGAAAAGCCACAACTAAAGCGATTATGCATGAGGACTAGCGTACAGAGTGACATTCAAGTAGTGATGCCTTTTTTTTAACAGCTGTACGTGCCTGTGAGGGAGTCATACGCAGCTCTACAAATGAAACACACACATGACAGTCATGTTGTAACGAAGTTTCAACCTCACTGAGGTGAATTTGTGGTCCCATGGTCTGCGGAACGAGCACGCGGCTCTGCCCTACGGACAACTGGAAGACGTGAGAAGAGATGCTATCAGTATGTACCCTCCGGTCCCCGATGTTAACTAGCGTTTATTTATGTAATTCATGGATATACGAAGGTGGTCCACCTGTCATCTGTCCTCATTTTTATTATTTTTAACGAATGCCATAACCAACCAGTCCCATCCCCATACTTTCTCACAATCAGAACATTCCGACATTCTCATTGTCACTTCTCGTAATAATCAGAAAAAAAGGATATTATGGATTTTCATTTATTGAAATGATTGTATTGGGGCAACCAATTAATTTATTCGATAGAAAATTGAGAAATTTTTGCAATATTTTTGTTGATGTGGGATAATTATTTTGGAAATTTTTTGGACGAACTTTTTGTTGGGTCTGGTTTTTTTTTATAGAGATCGCATGGAGGGAAATATTTAGTGGAAATTACGGAACTTTTAGTTCGTGTAAACGATTACGGAATCGAATCGAAAAATTTAAGTGGGGGTATCGTCATTTTTCACAGATAATTCAGATAAAAATTACGGTACACCGCAGAAAAATTATGTGACTTCAGATAAAAATTACGTGACAGTTCCGTAAAATTTTCTACAACGGTTTCGAAATTGAGGAAAAGACACGTAATTTTTATTGAATATTTCTCCCCATGGATTACGTCAGGATCGATTTACCAATTGGAAATCACCAGTCCTCTTGTCAGGAGATTTATTTCTTCGGACGGTTAATGAGGTGATGATACAACTCGTGCTTGTTTCAAAAATTAATTCTAATGATCATAATCCATGAAATCTCATTGGGTTAAGTGGCAAGCTAGCGTTGGGACATTCACCTAACCGAAACTACCGCAATCATCATTAGAGGAAGACAAAAAAATAAACTCTTTAAAATTCTCGTCTCCACACCTAGAAAAATGATACTTGAGTCACATAAATATTTTAATTATGTCATTTATCCAACAAACTTATTTATTAAAATTTTCAAAGAACGGTAAGAAAAAAGCTACAAAATAGGCGCTTTGAATTTGTTGGAAATGCGAGTTGAAAAAACGAAAGAGTATTTTCGTTTTCCAATAGTGGAGTGCTTGCAACTTGTCAATGAGATTCGTTTTCCCAATTTTCAATCCGGAAAAAAACCGAGAGCTTATAGAAATCTCCCAAACATTAACCCACACTCCGGTTTATCTCCATTCCAATACACACTTTTGACCCCATTACGCCATTCGCTTCACAATGATGCTTTTACGTGTTCTCCTCCAATCATTTTTCCCCCCCGAAAAATGGATATTTGTCTATCACACCAACCTCCGACTCCATCTCTCAACCGAGGAATAAAAAAAAAACCGGAGAAAAATGGTTCTATCCTCTGATAATGGCCTCGCCTCATAACGATTCATTCAATCGTAGAGAAACCGTTCCACCGATTCCTAACGATTGCCGTGACTCCACCGAGAATCTGTCTTCGTCTTCCGTCAAACCGACAATATTTATGGAAAAATCCACACTGCGAAATAGCGATTATTTATTTTTTGAAAAATAAAATAAAAATATTGAAACTTCCCATACAAAAAATGCAAAAATTCTCAAATCTTTGATTGAACTCAAACTCAGCCCCACATGAACTGACAATTTATTCAATTGACACTCTGACGAAGTAGCGAAAATTTTTTTATGAATTGCGAATTCCGAATTGAATGAAAAATAGTTTTTTGAGATTCTCCGCATGAAATGTCAATATTTTATCAACAATGGGGTAGTGTCCCCAGCAGGGTGAGAAGGTTACAGACGATGAAAGGGCAGTTGTGAGTCGAGAGGAAGAGTGAAAAAAAAAGGGATAGGATGAGTACTTGAATAATGAACGTGCGCACCACCGCATGCCGAGTTGCAACGATCGATGCACCGTAGCTCCAGTTGCCTCCCCCATACCTCGGTACAATTTCTATGCGTGTACGTGTATCGTTTTGGCCCCATTATCCTCATTGTAATGAGAATAGAAATGTGTTTCCACGGGTTGTACAGTCACCAGTGAGACTCATCACAGTCGCAGGAATATGAGGCACACAACCCGCCCCCCAAGTGCTGAACTAAACTAACATCGGAATTCCGATCGAACTTTGTGATTAATTATGACAACAATGATTTGACGTCTCAACTTGCCAGTTCCAATTAGTCGACTAGCGAGTATGTACTCTCCATTGTTTTCAATTGAAAAGAAAGAGAAGAAGGGAAACGAGTGAGTGTGAGAAAGACAACAAGAGGTAGATCCGATGAATTACTAGGGAGTTACAATTCCATTTTCTCATCCCTATGTACCCCATCCTCCATCTTCCTTCCACCGACGTATAACCCATAATTTGTGGCTATTGTTTTTTTTTTTCTTTTTCTTTTTCTCCTCTCTTCATTCCTATTGCCGGAATGGATTAAAGGATGCGTGATGGGATATGGTAATTACGTGTTGGCGAATGAACAAATTAATTGACTCAATGCATTTTGTTTTTAATTTAAATTGAAACGATAACGTAAGTTATAAATTTATTCACATGATTTAAATAATTGAAGTATAGCAAATGTACAACATAGGTTTTCTCCATCATTCTTCAATTTTAATTTAGGGTTTAGTTTAGATCGTATAAGAGCGTTTATACGTATTTTTTGTTGAACAATTTTGTCACTCTTATCTGCTGTTTTTTTTTCTCTCTGACTTTAAATCTGATTTACATTTATTTATTTAGTAATAGTTCATCTCGGATAATTTTTCTTGTTTTTTATGGCGAGTATATCTTACATCAGGCAAAAATTTGTTACATATGTACATATCATACATCTCTCTCATACTAATTTTTTCTTCTTCCTTGCTATTCAGTCATATAAAATTATAAAACATTGCCTAACTACATTCTCATTATTCCCCTCAATCCCCTCCACCCTCCTCTTTCACGCGTCACTGTTGCTCTCTTGTCAAATATTTTTTTAGCGCTATCGCTCTCATACTGCACTCGTCTCATTACGAACATTATTTTATCGGAAAATTTATACAGTTTTCGTATATATATTATATATAGAGGAGTAAATATTTACAGCCGAGTCACGCTGGATGCTCTCGCAAGACCCGTGACTATTTCGTTAAGCAAGTTCATTAATTAAGTAAATAATATCATGTTTTGTTTTTAAGTTATTTAGTCATTGGCGAGGTAGGCCATCGGTACATTACAATCTTACAAAAAAAAAGAATAACGAACGGATTATAATTTCGTAAACTGAGGGCGGGCAGACGACAGAATTTATTGGATAAAAAAAAACATACATCGACATTCCGTGAAAATCCACGGGATTTTCTCACCCTTTTCATTCAAAATTTCAATGAAAAACGCTAGAGCGAGCATATGAACCCAATATTACGCTTCTACGTTTTTAATTAAAGATCGAAGGTGTTCGACTAATGAGTAAAAAGAAATCAGTCCTTTGAAGCCAGCGAACAAAAAAAAATGCTAATTAATTAACCCTTTCTCTCACTCAATAAAAGCCCCTCAAACCAAAATGAAAAAAAAATGTTTCAAGTATTGAGCACAATATCTCTACACCCTGGTTAAGAATCCAGTTCCATGGTCGTACAAAAGTTTGAAATAAAAAAAAGGAATACAGTAAGAATACAGTAAACAATATCACAATAGACACAGTGGAAGAGAGCGAATGAAAAATCGATAGGATGGTGAATACTTATAACGATTATTAGATAGAGAACACACAACCGTTTCGATTCACTGGATTTTGTGAAAACACTTGGAGCTCTAGAAGTTCACAACCACTTGCCTCTGACCATATCCCTCGTAACAATGAAATTGTCCACCTGTGACGTCACGAGCCAAGACAATTCCCTTTGACTAGACGCCGGTGTGAACGACGAGTATTCCAAAGTGTTATATCTATAACAGAAGGGATAATCTACCGCTGGATTTGCCATGACAATCGACAAAAAAGCAATTGTTCACACATAATAATCCACATCGTTGCACTACACTAGATAACAGTCCGAGGGTTCATTGAATCTAAGTCCGAGAGACATACGGACCCTCCGCACAATCTCATCCTCATCAACTGGAAGTTACACAAGATATGCCTGGCCTGGTGGTGGTGGCTGCTGCTGTCTCCAAGCATTTCTCTCGAGTGTCGAATAATCCGAATCAATGGAAGAGTAAATGTGCTCAGATAGTGGTCTCCTGCTCTCATTGATAGCATCCAAAGGTCCTTCCTGGTAGGCACGATTCATTGTTAGCCTGGGGCTTGGACTTGCCGCCGAGCTCACCGGGGTATCACGACCACCTGGCTCGAGTCTAACTTGATTATTGTGACCAAGGGTTGCCGTACTGGAGTAGGCTGGTGGTGCTTGCAACAATTCCGGTGCATCCTTGAACAACGGATGATGATGGCCAGGTATATGGCCATGTACACGCAACGTCGCTGTCTCCTTCTCGGGTCGTCCCTCCAACGTATACGTATTAACATTTCTCCTGTACAGTGATGATGATTTTCGCCTGAGTGCATCACCCGGTGGCATTGCAAATCTCAATCTCTCCCAGAAACGTTTTTCACCCCATCTGAGTGTTGTAGCTGTTCGCAAATAAGGCCTCAGTTCCGGATCAGCTTCCGCCTCAGGTGTGACAGGTCCAGCCTGCACGACAACTAGCTGACCTGGACGACCCCTCAGGGCTTCGTGTACAGCAGCACGAAATTCAAAACGCGACCACTCAGTCTGCAAGAAATTTCTCGTCAGTACTATTACAACTCGCTTAGATGCCTCAGCTGCTTCCAATACAACTGGTGCAGCAGCACGTAGACAAGGTAGGTCACGATGATGAAGGCACAAACGTAATCCACTTGGTCCATGCTCCAACTCAACAGCCAACGAGTGTAAAACAAAGTCTTCATCCTTTGGACTGTAACAGAAGTAGCCGTCGTACAATCGCTCTTTGTCCTCGGGTTGTGTTGTTTTAGCCCAGAATCTGATGCCGTAACGTGAATATGCCCATGTACGCACAGGCTCGCGGAATATAAATGCCAGTACCGTAATTACAAGGAGTAATAGTACAGCTGAGAGGGTTGCTGCTACCATGGGTAAGTAATCGGAGACCATTATGCTTTCGATTACTCCGCCCTGAGCAAAGTAATCCGAGCAGGCTGTTTCATTGACGTTGAGACGACGACGATAAGCTGGTCTTGCCTCATTGTTATAACACCATACATCACTCGAATCTATAACCTTGTGGGCATTGTCAGATACCCAGGCGGACAATTCTTGGAGAAATTTACACCGACATGACCACGGATTACCACCAAGTGACAGCTCCACGAGACGTGTATTAAGGGTGACTTGCCAAACCGGAAACGTGACTAGGCGATTTCCATTGAGTCGTAATATCTCGAGTGATCTCAGCGGTAGTAGAGTGAGATTACCGATGAAACCAATGAGATTATTCTGGAGGTATAGCTCACGCAGGTGCACCAAATGCTCAAATTCAAAGCCCTTAAGCTCGTGAATCTTATTATCCTCTAGATGCAGAGTTTGTAGATTATTTAGGCCGTTGAATGTTCGATTCTGAATTGATTCAATACCACTGGCATTAACATAGAGTACCCGCATATTTTTACGCCCGATAAACACATGATTCTGCAATTCACGAAAGTCATTGCCATCGAGATATACTTCAGTTGCGTCCATCGGTATTTTTCGGGGTATATCCTGGGTTGCCAATCCCGAGCAGTCAACCACATTAGTATTCCACGTTTGATCGTGATAACACTTGCAATTTGATGGACATGTCATTTCGCAATCACAGGCATCGAAGTCGCAGCAGTGACACAGTGCAAAACAGTGTGCCTCATAACGACAGAGAAATTGTTCCGGTCTTGCCATTGATGCTGGCACCATAGCTGTACCACGGGGACCGGATATACGACACATTGCATTGTCAAGGTCCATAACGCGTGGATGCTGTCGCAATGCACTCATGTTGTTAATCACTGGTAGCCAATCCATCGAGCAATTGCAATTAAAAGGATTACCACCTATGTAGAACTCGGGTAGGAACTTACCCTCTGGCACTGGTGTCAATCTGAGTGCAGCGAGTTCCATTGTTTCAATCATATTGGCGTACATATCAACACGAGTTAAATTTACTTTACCGGTGAATGTATTGGCGTGAACATTACTGATGTAGTTATTGTTTATGAAGAGTAATTCAACACTATCAGGCACTGAGAGGGGTGGCAGTTCAGTTATTCTATTGTGACTGGCATCGAGTGTACGAACTTTGAGATCACGAATTTGATAATAATTTCCAAGGCTCTCGATGAAATTGCCGTGTATATCGAGCCATTTGAGATTGCTCGGGATGAAGGCGTAATCGAACCACTCAATGTGATTCTCCGATAAATTAAGGAGCAAAAGGCTCGTTATACTGGCGAATATTCCATTAATATCGGATAAGAAATTTCCATCGAGGCGTATTGCCTCGAGACGGACGTTACGTTCGAATGCATCTCTCTCAACGTGCTGGACCTTGTTTCTAGCGAGATTCAGTATTTGAAGGTTTGGTAGGTCCCACAGCATTCCACGGGAGAGATTACCAATCTCGTTTCCAATGAGTCTCAGTCCGGTCAGTTGATTGAGATTTCTAAAGGAGCCATTGTGAAACTCGGTTATCTTGTTCTCCCCGAGATCGAGTGTTTTCAGAAAGGTGAGATCACGAAGGGCCTCTGGGACCGCTGTCAATTCATTTCCACTCAGGTCAAGTTCCTTGAGGTCTGAACAATTTTTGAATGCCAGGGGATCCAAATTTACTATCGTATTTCCAGACAGTGTCAGACGATTGAGCACGAATAATCCGTTGAACAATTGTTGTCCAATCGAGTGCAAACGATTCTCCGACAACTCGAGTGTGTGAAGATTGTAGAGAGGGAGAAATGCATTGCTCTCAATATGTGTAATTGAATTATTCCGTAAATCCAGTATCTGGAGGAAGAATAGATCCTTGAACATTCTCGCATCGATTCTCGATAATGAATTGTACGACAAGTCAAGGACAATGAGCCTTATCAGACCGAGAAAGGACATTTCATCAACGGTATCGCTCCCTAAACGATTACCAGCAAGATTGAGAACCAGTAGCTGCTCCAAACGGGTAAAAATACCCCGGGGCAGATTTCGTAGCTCGTTTCGCTGCAGATGTATCTCTCTGAGATCCCTCGTCGAAGCAAACAGCGCTTCCGGCAGTGTATCCAAAGAATTGTAGCTGGCATTGAATACCCGCAAACTGGTGAGTCCTGTCAGTGCATCACTAGCTATTTCATCTATTCCATTGTGCTGCAAATAGAGTTCCTGGAGTTGTCTAAGACCCGACAATGGACTGTCCTCCGGTAAATTCCTAATCTCATTGTGCGACAGATCTAGTATACGTATATCAGCGTGACAATCGGCACGATTGGCCCGTGCATCGGCTAATCCAACCTCGCTCATCTCACGAAATTGATTTCCAGTAAGATTGAGAATTTGGAGATTGTTGAGACTGCAGAGAACGTTCCTCGGTAGTATTCTGAGATTGCTATCGGCAATCTCAAGCGTCTGAAGCTCGCGCAGTCCAGCGAGTGCCTCCGGAGCGAGCTCCAAATTCCGTCCAATACTCCATTCTGCATTTTTAGTTCTTAATGTTAATTTTTTCAGCTCGGCAAATGGTTGAAACGCAGCCTCCGGTATTCTAAGGACTTTGCAGTTATCGATGTAAAGCTCGTGGAGACCGCTCAAACGGTGCCAACTCTCTCCCGATATGACACTCTCAAAATGATGAACATTGCTGCACTCAAGACGCAATCTGAATGCACCATCTAGGGGTGGCAATAGCGCTGCTACACCAGAAGGATCGAGAGTCCTTAGCGAACAAACAGCCGAGCGCGTCTCATTACCGTCGGACGACCAGTGACAAGAGCCACGAACACCCCTCATCATCACCATCATCACCATCATCATCAACCACAACAAATTCAACCTCATCACATACATCCCTCGTACACAACTGCATCTCACAGCCATTTTCGATAATCCAGCTTTATCCTTCAATCGCTCGATCACCAACCAATCAAATCGACAAAACCAAAGTGAAAACTTATTATTTTTTAAACACCTCCCCTCTATCACATTAATCCCCACTCAACCATTTTACCAACTTTCCCACAGCTAATCACACTTGTAAAACACTTTTATCTATAACACATGTATCCTTCGGTGTTGTTTATCGAAAATATCCCTGGATTTTTGATTGATCCTCCAGCTGGTACTCCCGAAAACTCAATGCTCAAGTTTTCAGGTGGAGGAAAATAGGGGATTACCCGGTTTTGATAAACTTATTGTAGATGGGAGCACTTATTGTACAATAACTGTTAGTTCCACGGGGTAACGAACGTATCATCTCTTAGTGAGTACATAATAGCGCAGTGCGTTATTACAACGAAGTGAATTTCTCAAGAGACCATACACACTGGCGGCAAGTTGGACTCGCACTGGCTGATGTTGGCCGACGGGTGGAGGCATTTCAGGGGAACTGCTCCCACCGCACAGTCGCAGCAGTGCGCCACCATACGGCCAAACTACATAAAATCATGTACTTTTGGTGGGGGGTAAAGGAGAGAGATGAAGCATTAAAACCAGCCCTTGTCAAAATGACGTTGCCCTATTCATACGGTGGGTGCTTTGCCAAAGGGACACCCAGTCCTGCTCAGGTATAGAGGGGCTATACAAGAAAACGAGACTCGCCCCCGAATACAATTCCCAACGAGGGGGACAGTCTCATGGGATCAACATTGAAAATCCTTCAAATGAATTCTCAACGATATTTTGCCTTCCATCGAATAATATAAATTTAACCAACGCACCTCCTTTTTTCCTCCAATTGTTCCCCTGCTTATGTGCATTGTTGTGATTTCACGAGATCGTACGTGTACCAGGGTCACGCCCAGCATTTCTACTATTTTTCATATTTTCATGTCGTCGGCTGACCCTTGGGATTATCCATTGGCATTCATTTGGCTACAATATGTCGAATATTCCTGGAGACTGGGGGAATTGACAATTATAATGAGATTACCCCGACAAAGCGAGGATTAATGAACTGTATTTATCTTTTTATTGCGTTATTTAATTAGCGCACTGAGAAGGATTTTGGCTAATAACGAGAGCAGTTGATGGTTCACTCTCTTCAATGGATTACCAATTGGATAAATCTCTTATTCGTATTTATCGAATATTTTGTGTGTTCCTTTTGGATGGAGTTTTAGAGTAAGAGCTCTTGAATAAATACGGTTTATCGGGAAAAATCTGTTCTCATCGCTTATCAATGGAAATAATGGAGAGCGCCGACTGAGAGGATAACTCCAACTCTAATTAAAGATTATACCTATTAGTAAAGAATTTGGAGTATTTTATTTGTTCAATCTCTATTTTGAAAGGAACCACAGTTTTGGATTTCTCACTTTCGTAAATCGACTTCATTCAAATATTCCCGCGACCTCTGACTCTGATATTTTCAACTGTCAGCTGCTCTCATCCAGAAAAAATCGTCCGTCGATAAAGACGGAAACCTCGATAATCGGTTGATAACAGTTCAATTGTTTATTGTACCGCGGGATCGAGATGGCATTTTTAAACAGGGTTAATTTCCTGACACGCATATTTCCTGACAGATATATTTAAGGTGAAGAATCATCAGGTTAAGTCCAGAAATACATAAGATGACTGATAAAAGGGAGGAGAAGAAGGAAGACCTTCGCCTGCAATTTATCTTCGAATATTTGAAATGCTCGAGTGGTTTAAAACCAGACAAATGGAGCAAAATGATCAATACCCAGGAGTCGAAGGTAGTTCAATAAATAATTGTGCATGGATTGGCGATGTTGAGATAAACCGTGTGATTTTCAGGATTTAATTCTTAAATTCTTCAACACACCCACGGAAAATATGCTAACTATGCAAGTGTCTTCAGCAGGAGTGCTCATTCCTGCCCTGGGAATACAACCAGGCGCCAAAGTCAAGACGTCCTACTTTGCCAGACGACAGCCGGTTAATATTACAGAAGTTAATTACAGGGAGATGCTCATCCCAGGTGATATGTCTCCCAAACCAATTGAGGATTTCGCTGTACTCATGGAGGAGGTATATATCCAAGACTCGTAATACTCTTTACGGAAAGTTCAAGTAGATCATTAAATATTTAATGATCTCCCCCTTAGGTTTATACACCGATGCTCACCAACTCTGAAAATCAAGAGAGATGGCCCCTATTCCTACGTAAAGACGTGGAGAAACGTGTCCACGATATGAAGAATAGTATTTATGAAGTAATTTCAGACCTAAAAAAAATCTATGCGTTTTGAGAGTTATGGTGATTACTCGAAAATGCTGGGTGCCGTAATTTGAGAGTTTTTCAAGTTTATTTAATTCAGTTGAATTTCCAAGTTTATTTTGGCTGAATCCTTTCCCAGCAAAAATTCCATCCCTTCTTCATTTGCATTGAGCTTGTATTTCTCTCCATTTCTTATCAGCCAACTTTTTCTCCTTCAATCTTTTTCAATCTATTCAATTTCCGTTTCTCTCGTCATTGTCACCGTCGACTTTATTATTTTCCGGGGCGGCAGTTTTGACGATTCTGTTGTTTAATTCAATGTATTTCACCGTTAATCGATAGCTCCAAGGAAATATAAACGGCGAGACTGTCTTATCAATGCCATTAGGAATCGAAAAACTTTTCCAAGTGGAGAATTTGACTAGCGATCACGTGGATTATGAACTGAAGTCCAATATCGAGGACACTATCGCCAAATGGAGTTTTCAAATTAAGCAAGTCCTTGCTGAAAGTAGTACGGACATTAAGAGCGACTCTCACCCCCTGCCAACTGCTGGTTACTCAATGAGAATTATTCCAATTAACGATTTGCCTCAATGATTTTTATTCCATTCTTTATTCCCTCAGAGATAGAATTCTGGAGACTGAGACTCAAGAACATTGAGTCTATCTACGAGCAGATGAAAGATCCGAGAGTTAAGAAAATGGTATCCCTTCTTCAAGTGACTGAAAGTCCTTATCTCAACAGTTTTGAGATTTTATTCAAGAATATTATTGCGGGTTTGTGTTGCTCAAGTGTCCTTTTAATCTTGCCTTTTAATCTTCATTGCCTTCTATCATCACCAGCTGTCGTCGAAGCGAGAGACATTTATCTGCACTTGAGGCCATTACAGTCGCACTTTGAAGTGATGGAAGGACTCGATTTGGACGAATTTCAATCTAATATCAAACCATTGATGCATTGCATTTGTTTGGCGTGGGCTAATTCAAGATATTATTCCACCTCAACGCACATTATTACGATGCTGTCCCAAGTTGTTAATATGCTCATTACTCAGGTGTTCATCGATTTATCAGGGATGAGTCCTAAATTTTTTTTTTTTTACAACCAATTATTTTTTACTCAGGCCTCAAAATTTTTGGATCCATCATCACTGTTTGAAGGTGACATAAACGACACACTGAAGAAAGTTGTATCAGTGGTGGAGCTTACGCAGCACTTCTCAGATGTTGTTGAACATTGCAGAGTCAACATTGAGAGTTATTTCAAACCCGAGGTGGAGCCCGTGCTCTGGACATTTCACGAGAAACTCATATTTCACCGTCTATGGAAGTACGAGACACGACTGCAGCAGATTAAAGTAATTCATCCCATAATTTTCCACTCTCGAAGGTCGTCATTTTGATTGTCTCTTCTCCAGAACATATTCGACATTGTCCAGGACTACATGAAACTGGATCGCACAGAAATCGGCGGCTTGAATGGAAAATTTCTGTGTCAGGCTGTGTTTCAAATATACGATGATTTCGTCAAGACATATAACGAATTGGGAGCCGTTCAGGATGATATTCTATTACCGGAGAACAATCATTTCACCAAGACTATTGAAGAATTTATGGAGAAGGTCAATACTTACATCGGTATCAACCCACGATAAAGTGTTCATCATTATCTCTTTAGTTGTGCCCAAGGCGATCGAATTTTATTCTGACACTTTTAATAATCGAATAATTTAGCAACTTCGTATATATTCACCTTGTCAATGACATAAGAACTCTTGACCACTGAAAAATTATAAATAAAGAGTTTTTTTTAACAGATAAATGATTACGACCGGAAACTGGTGACGGTATTCCACAAATCATTCGCAGAATGCCACACCATCGAGGGTAGGATAAAATTTATATGGCAAATAGGATCGATCGCCCTGAGACCAATTCTCCAGTCAAACCTGCTAAATCATTACGAGGATCTCCTCTTAAAAATCCACGAGTGTCTAGACAACGTAAAGGTAAACTTTCAACTACTGAACCACTAGAAATAACTGACTCCCACCAGATTTTATTCGACCGAGGTATGAAAATGAAGGAGGAAGTGGGATATACTCCAGTGGATCAATATTTTCCACCAGTAGCTGGGGCGTTATGGTGGCTGATGAAGTTGAAGCGTCGTACTAATTATCCTGTAGAGTCCCTAAAGTTGATAGATCACCCGGTGCTCGTCAGTCAATCAGCACGCGAGATAGCCGCCAAGTACGAGGAACTCGAGGTACATAATCGATCAACGTAGAAAATACACCGACGAAGGCCTTAATATTTTTATTCGTTCAAGAGCATCATGAACACTGCTGAGAATGAGATATTCACCGAGTGGTCCGACCGAGTACCGGCTATTTGCGAGGAAAATTTAGTCAAAACTCTATTTGTCGTTAACGATGATCGATCTCTCGAGTCTAATTTCGATCCCCAGCTCGATGGAATTCTCAGGGAAACTAAATACATGCACATCATGCATAAGACTGAGCTACCTCAGGATGCCATCGATCTATTCAACAGGACGCAATTTTTCCTTCAAAATAATTATGACATCGGACTTATCATCACTTGGTAGATCAGTAATAACCACGGATTTACAGATACCAAAGACTTGACTTGAAGCATCGAATGTTCTTCAATTAATTATTCATAATCTCATTTTTGCCATTTCCCAAATTCCGAAGTAAAATGGAGATTTTCAGAAATTGTTGGTAGAACCTTCAATCAAAGTGAAATATCAAGTCGACTTTCGAAAGCCATAATTATAAACTTTGAAGACTCAAATTAAAATTTTGAAATGTCTCAAATCCAGAGTTTATTTGTTTTAAAATGGTTTCTCGGTTTGTGTGTAATACTGAACTAACTCGATATTGTATCAACACCAGGTACAATGAAGTGAAGAATAAAAGTTCGAGGGTTGAGATGGAGCTGTTGCAGGAGGAGCTGGAGGTGATTGATGGGACGATTGACGATGGTCAGATCCATTACAATTGGAATTCACCAGGTATGTTTGGATGTTTCTAACGGATTCATCAATTTGATGGTGTTATCGGGGGCTTTTGCAGAAACTCCGGAGTATGTCAAGGTACTCTTGGCCTCTGTGAGGAGCATGCATGCGCGGGTGATGAAAGCGCAGGAGAACGTGGAGAAGCTGATGAAGATGATGTACGAGTGGGCAATGGCTCCTGTGCTGATTCGGAAGGATGGAAAGCCCGAGAATTTACTGGCCATTGGCGAACGCGAGGCTAGATTCGAGAAGAGATATCGGGACATTGAGGCCTTTGGGGAGGAGGTGCGCAGGATTTTGCTCGAAAATTGCAAGCTCTATTTTGATTTGCTGCCGGAGTCGTTTTATTTGAAGGAGGAAGCCGATCTGGCTCCCTCGGATCTCCAACCTGAAGAGCTTGACCCTGATGCAGAGAAATTTGATGACACCGTTCAATCCATGTGCGTGGAATTTTTCAAAGAAGTTTTATCCAAATTTTGAGACCATTGCGAACAACTATTAGACGAAACGTATTTATTTATTATTTATTAGCGGAAATAACTGTACTATATGCAATGAAAGAGGTATTCTCTACTTGTTTTTACCAATGGCATCCGGTGGAAATTTTGGACTCGGGAAATTCTTATCTGTCGAGAAACGATAAATTTTATTGACGCACCAGTGAAATTGAAAAAATCATGATTATTTTTCTTCTAAATCCAAATAATTTTCTTGGGGTTGGACGTTGAGGATTGAAATTCGAAAGACCAATCGAATAAAGTACAACACTTGAAATTTTTTTTTACTCTCTTGTGGAGCAGTGAGACTGACGCAGACGCTGGCTTTGGCGAAGGTGATGAAGGAGAAACAGAAACGCTTACCGTGAACGTGGAAATGACTCCGTCACAAGAACTGAGGAAGCGGGAGAAAGATGAAAAAGAAATGGAACTTGAAGCACCACGACAGGTCAAGTGGAAACCTTACCTCGCTTATATTGATCAGTTGGTATCTGAGGGCTTAGTGCAGGCAGTGTCAACGAGGTACCGAATTTATCTCATCCATTTCAACTCGATACTTTGTTATTTTTACCATTATTTTATTAAGTCCACAATAAATATCGAATACATTCTTTAATTAATTTTCATAAAACTTCTATGCAATATTGATTAACCAATTTAAACTCTTCATTTTTTTTGTATCCGAGGCGAAATTTTTATTAAAAACTTATTAATTTTTTTTTTGTTATTTCTGATCAAATGAAAACTTGATATTTCTATTTTTTTTGTAATATTTTACTATTCCAAAACATATAAAAACCATGTTTTCGTAATTTGTTTATGTACATTATGCGAATTTAAAATATCTTTTTTTGTATTTTGCGAAATGAAGATTTTTCCGTGTAAAATCAAACGAGTATTTTTTTTTAGGGAGAAAATGGGAAAATTGACGTGGCAGTCGTACAATTTCATTTCCAACTCACATTTTTATTGAATTCTCCTCCGCCCGCTGCTTACGTATCAAAACGCAATTTTTCCTTTATTTCCTTGTAATTTTCATCGAGTTTTTCTATCGCGCCCTCAGTATCTGCTACATCCTCGACGACACAGACCCCGAGGCCTCAATTTTCCCGCTCTTCGAAGTGCAACTTTCCTTAGACCCCCCGGATATTGTTTTTCGTCCACCAGTGCAAATAGCCGATCCAAAAGGATTCTACGTATTTTACGAGGGTTTGATGTTCGACATGATGAAAATGGGAACATTAATTCCTCGTTTAGACCCGGAGAAAGCGTTGGAACGAGAAAATTATGGGGTAAGCCATCGTATGAGCAACTGTACAGTAGCTTCTCCACAGGGTCGAGTAACTAATTGCCATTTGCCCCCTTTCCCCCCATACTTTTACCCCCTTCACCACAACGAAAAGATCGATCTGGCTGAGGATTCGAGAATAGTATTTATGCTGGAGGAGACTTGTAACAGAGTTAAGCAAGTGCTGGTTCAGGCCCAAGAGTATGCGCAGGTAAGTTTGAGCCCCGGAGGTCTAATGAACCCATAATTAAGACAAATAAGTCCCCTTACTCATTGTTACGAAATTACCTCACGAAAATTAAGACGTACGAGGAGTATTGTTGGCTGTGGCTGGACGACAGGCAGGAGTACCTGAATAATTTTCTCCGCTTTGCCCGAAGCCTCAATGATGAAGAGAAAGAATTAGCGACCCAATCCCCCGAATTAATTGGCCAAGTCATCAAAGATAAGACACCCGACCTGTCCGACTTCAAACGAGAAATTGATTACTTTATGGATTACTACAAAAAATGCAGTGAAATTGAGAATGAGAAAATCCTCTTCAAGTGGCTCAGAATCGATACTAAGCCATTTAAGCATGCTTTATTGAATATAATCTGCAAGTGGGCATACGTTCTAAAAATGCATCTCGTCAACTCGGTGAACACGAGGTATCATCGTTTCTAGTCTCATGCAATATCAATACTCAAGATGTTTCTCGTCTGTGCTGAATAATCGAAACACTGTCTTATCGCAGTTTAATGCAGTTATCAAATTTTCTGCATGCTGCTGGTGATCGATTTGCCCAGCCAGTGCTCGAAGACGATTACGACGGCTTACTGCAAACCATCTATTATTTAAAGGAAGTGAGGGATAGACAGTACAAAATTGATGACATGTTCGGTCCACTCAAGGTATCCAAAAACGTTTCGTTAATGAATTATTTATCATTTATCCAATTACACGTGGATGGAAAATTTACTGGTAAGCGAGAAGAATTTCATTCGTTTGAGATATTCTAGCGTCGATAACGGGTATCAATTCTAGAGAGACAGAAGATAAAATTTTTGGTTCAAGTCGAATCTCTAATTTGATTAATGGAATTTTTCAGTCTGATATGAGTGGAGTTGTATCGAATAGACAAAAAACTAGAATCAATACTTTTTAGGATATCATCAATCTACTCAGTGACTATCAAGTCGAATTCGATGATCAGACGTTCAACTGGTTGACAACATTGCCAGAATTGTGGACAAGTGTGAAAAAGCTGGCGGCGCAAGTGAAGCAAGTTGTCTCTCCACTCCTTGATCATCAAGTGGATCTTGTAAAGAAACGATTGAACTTCTTCGACTACAGGCAACAACAGTACCTGAAAGCATTCCATAAGAATGAGTTGTTCAGGTAATCATAATGAGAAAAATGTCAGAAGATAATGGCATAACTGAGGATTTCAAGTGAAATCCCCTTCTCAGTGGTTTTCTTATCTCTACATCTTACTTTAATGGCAGTAGAATCTTTTATGAGCACTCGATGTTTGTGCTGTGATACACATCACGTACATCTTGAAATCCACTTCCAGTGCCACATGCAGAGATGTTTACGAGAAGCTCGATACTGTAAATATAGACATTGCGATACTCGAGGATGAATTAAAAACGTTGACGGATACCACTCAGATTTTTGAATTGCCGGGTCAAGAGTTCAAAAGCATTAAAGAAGCGAGGCGAGAATTAAAGCTATTGAAATGTCTATGGGATTACGTAACCGTCATAAAAACGAGTCTGGATGAATGGAAAACGACACTGTGGAAGAAGTTGGATGTTGAGGGAATGGACCAGGAGTGCAAAAAGTTGACGCGAGAATTGAGATGTGAGTGCCCTAACGCTCACGAATGATGGATCAGTATAACGGGGATTAATTTAACCTTGCAGTGCTGGATAAAGACAGCAGGAGCTGGAAATTGTATGGATATATTGAGAGCCAAGTGAAGAATATGATGTCGTCTTTGAGGGCTGTATCGGAGCTGCAGAATCCTGCCATCAGAGAACGGCATTGGCAGCAGTTAATGGTTGAAACACATGTGAGTGATATCCCAAATAGAATTCTCAATTTATCCTCGATTGATTATGATAAAAAAATATTCTCATCACTAGGTGAAATTCACGATGGATGACAGAACAACCCTCGACGATTTGCTCAAACTCGAGCTCCATAAGTACGAGGAGGAAGTTAAAAATACTGTCGACAAAGCAGTTAAAGAGATGGCTATGGAAAAAACTCTGAGAGAGTTGACAAACACGTGGACTAGTCTTGAGTTCAACAAAGAGTACCACGACAGAACGAAACTGAATCTATTGAAAATTGATGAAGAGACTGTTGAAGTACTGGAAGACCATCAAGTAAATCATTGATGAATTCCATTAAGCGCAGAGACAAAATGTTTTCATTTTTCGGGGACTGTTAGCTGTCAGTTTGAAAAATTCATCTGATAACTCATTTCATTTTTCATTACAAGAATTTTCGATTGAAATTCGATAGAATTATTGCATGCGTCATTCCATGGGTGCAGCAAATTTGTTTGCACATGTACATAAGATGTTTACAATTGGAATTAAAAATCTGACTGAGATGATTTATACGTTAACACGAAGGTTTATATAGCTTTTGTTATGGAAGGTCTAAGATTTGTCCGGAAAAATCGTGACGCATAATAATAGATCGATATTACTGTAGAACGTGAGCGACACAAAACGTTCGAGACGCGTCGCATGAATTTCGTAATAACAACAGTTTTGTCACGTGCCACACATGTTTTCCGTAGGAGAGAATAATTTAGCACAAGAAATTGAAATAGAATGAAAAGTCTCTGAATTGATACATTCCACAATGCAGGTACAACTTCAAAACATGTTGAGCTCGAGATTCGTGGGTTACTTCATCACAACAGTAACAGATTGGCAGCACAAGTTGAGCAACGCCGATGGTGTGATCAATACCTGGTTTGAAGTTCAACGTGGTTGGATGCACCTGGAGAGTATTTTCATCGGTTCCGAGGACATACGAAACCAACTCCCCGAGGATTCCAAACGCTTCGAGAAGATAGACCACGACTTCAAAGTAATTATACCGATATCCCTGAGAGGAATATTACATCGATGTTAATTGAATTATGCTAGGATATACTGAAGGATATGCTGGCGACTCCAAACATCGTTAGGGCAACAAATAAACCGAATCTCCTGGAGAAGCTTGAGGAGCTGCAGAGACAACTGAACCTCTGTGAAAAAGCCCTAGCAAATTATCTCGACACTAAGAGATTGGCTTACCCCAGATTTTACTTTATATCCCCAGCAGATCTCCTGGATATTCTCAGCAGTGGTAAATTAACGGAATAACTAAGTGCAATTGATATTCCAACTGGTCGCTTCTATTGTAGGCAACAATCCTGAATTAGTCTGCAGACACTTATCGAAATTGTATGACTCTGTCGCCAATCTCAAGTGGAAAATAGAAAGTGGAAAATTATCGAAAACTGCTAATGCACTGATCGCTAAAGATGGCGAGGAAATTGATATGTATGGTACATGCGACTGCAGTGGAAAAGTAGAGGTGTGGCTGAATCGTGTTACTGATGCCATGCGAAGAAGTGTACGTTATCACTTTAGCCAAGCTGTTGCCACGTACGATGAAAAACCACGTGAACTTTGGATAATGGATTATCAAGCACAGCCAGCACTCTGTGGTACACAGATTTGGTGGACCACCGAGGTGAATATGGCTTTTGCAAGATTAGAGGAGGGATTCGAAAACTCAATGAAGGATTACCAGAAGAAGCAGATTAATCAGCTCAATGCACTCATTATTATACTGTGTGGAGAATTGAGTGAAAATGACAGGCAAAAAATTATGACGATATGCACAATTGATGTTCATGCTAGAGATGTTGTTGCCAAGTTGATTTCTATGAAGGCTGAAAATTCATCGAGCTTTCAGTGGCAGTCACAGCTCAGGCACAGGTATTTCTCGGTGATTCATCATTTAATCACTTGCCAGTGGATAGACTCGTTTGATTAGAGAGATTTGATTAAGATGTTGTCGTTGGAAAATATTTCCATTTACCCATAACGACAAAAATTCATGCAAATTATCTAGCGAAATTGTTGTTTTTACCGTGTGTTTTCGTTAGATGGGACGATAAACTTGGTGACTGTTTTGCCAATATCTGCGACGCAAGTTTTGCATACGCCTACGAGTACTTAGGGAATGTTCCTCGTTTAGTAATAACACCGTTGACAGACAGATGTTACATCACCCTCACTCAATCCTTGCATTTGGTAATGGGTGGAGCACCAGCAGGACCCGCTGGAACTGGCAAAACAGAGACAACCAAAGACTTGGGGCGTGCGCTTGGCCAAATGGTTTATGTATTCAACTGCTCCGAGCAAATGGATTACAAAGTGAGTTCTTGTTTTGTCAAAATTTCGATTAATTGATCGTGATAATCGGCCAGGGAGAGAAATAACGAGCTGATTTTTTCAGTCCTGTGGAAATATTTATAAGGGATTGGCCCAGACTGGTGCTTGGGGATGCTTCGATGAGTTCAATAGGATATCCGTGGAGGTGTTGTCCGTTGTTGCTGTACAAGTCAAGTGCGTGCTTGATGGTGTCAAAAGCCGGAAGAGAAAATTTCTATTTTTCGCCGAAGAACTGAATATTGTCAATACCGTTGGAATGTTCATTACTATGAATCCTGGTTATGCCGGGAGAACCGAATTGCCGGAAAATTTGAAAACTTTATTCAGGTACAGAACAGGTGTGGAACTGGGGGCCAACGCACGCATATGCCAATTTGCATTCATTCACCGCGAATGTTTAATTAAAATGAGAATTAATTCACGAAGAAAATTGAGAGGTTTCGGGGGCAGAGGTGTGCAAAACTCAATTATAACCCGAAATTGTGGCATTATCGTGAATATTAAATTCTACCGTGAATTTATTTCTGAATGAATTCAAATTTAATGGAAGTGAGTGTTAAATTTGCGTAGTGACATCCAACAGAAATACGAATTCATTAAGAATCCACGGGCTATAGATACACATACTTAATTAGAAGTGATTATTGATTAATCACTGAATTAGATTGCATAAACTCGATTGGCGGTCAAGTAGAAAATGTTGAGAGACAGGTCAGAGCAGAAAAAACTAAAATGATCCACCGTGGTTATTCCACTGTTAGACCATGCGCCATGGTAGTCCCAGACTTCGAATTGATCTGCGAAATAATGCTGGTGGCTGAGGGATTCCAGGAGGCGCGTTTATTGGCACGAAAATTCATCACACTTTATACTCTCTGTCGTGAACTACTTTCCAAGCAAGACCATTACGACTGGGGACTGAGGGCAATCAAGTCCGTTCTCGTTGTTGCGGGAAAATTGAAACGTGGCGATCGCCATCGCCCCGAGGATCAAGTTCTAATGAGAGCACTCAGAGATTTCAATACACCAAAAATTGTTACCGACGACACTCCAGTTTTCATGGGACTCATTGGTGATCTCTTCCCAGCCCTCGATGTACCGAGAAAGCGAGATCTTGAATTTGAAAAAATGGTACGAGGTGCTGCTGTTGATTTGAAGATGCAACCGGAGGATGGTTTTATTTTAAAAGTAATTATTTCAATAATTAAATAATTAATTAACCTTTTCTGCGAATCGATTTCGATTTGACTTCTCCATTATTTACAATTTACTGAGATAAATAATAAATAAAATGAAAATTTTGACGATTTTTTTTATTTAATTCCCTCGTTCCATGGAATACATTAAATTCAAGGTTGTTCAACTGGAGGAACTTTTCAACGTGAGGCACTCAGTGTTCATCGTGGGTTTCGCTGGAACTGGCAAAACTCAGGTATGGAAAACTCTCTTTCGAACGTACATGAACCAGAAACGAAAGCCCTACTACAACGATCTCAACCCCAAAGCTGTGACCAACGACGAGCTGTTTGGAATTATCAATCCAGCGACCAGAGAGTGGAAGGATGGGTAAATTGATATTGCAATCCAATCCGAATATTCACTGACAAGTGGAAATTCTTCACCTATTATTAAATTTCTATCCATTCCCTCGAATATCTTAAAATATGCAGGACTGTTCACTCATCCTCAACTCTGAGGGAAATGCTCTTAATTAAATTAACAATTGTATTTTAAATGTAGCAGATTAAATTAATGGAATTCTGTACGGTTGATTAATTCCGGATGCAGTTCATGAAGTCCTTTCTTTATTAGTCCGTTTCCTTTTATTGGATATTATTCAGTGACGAATGTTAAATGGTTTCATTAAAAAATCCAGATTGTTCTCGGTGTTGATGAGAGATCAAGCGAATATGAGTGGCGATGGACCAAAGTGGATAGTCTTTGATGGGGATATCGATCCAATGTGGATAGAGTCTCTCAACACTGTGATGGACGACAATAAAGTTCTCACCCTAGCCAGTAACGAGAGAATAGCTTTGACTAAACACATGAGACTACTCTTTGAAATTTCAAACCTGAGAACTGCAACTCCAGCTACTGTTTCAAGGGCCGGAATTCTCTACATTAATCCCCAAGACTTGGGCTGGAATCCGTAAGATTTCACTAATTCCACAAAATATCTGGTGATGAATGGATTTTTTTCACTGTATAAATTTTTAGATACGTAACCAGTTGGATTGACACTCGTGATGGAAGTGAGAGAGCAAATCTACTCATTCTCTTCGACAAGTATATCCCTTCCCTGTTAGAAGCCTCGAAGGTTAAATTCAAGAAAATCACGCCAATCCCAGAGATATGCTCCATAGAAATTCTGTGCAATCTACTGGATTGCTTTTTAACCCCTGAAAATCTACCGCCGGAGTGCCCAAAAGAGTGGTACGAATTATACTTCGCCTTTTCCTGCATTTGGGCTTTTGGCTCGCCGACATTCAAGGATCAATTAGTTGATTGGCGGAATGAGTTCAGCAAATGGTGGCTCAATGAATTTAAAACCGTCAAGTTTCCGGCTAATGGAACAGTGTTTGATTACTTCATTGATAATGAGACTAAGAAATTTTTTCCATGGAGCGAACGCATGGGAAAATTCGAATTAGATATGGATATTCCCCTCCAGGTACATAATAATCAACAAATTCGTTCAATAATCGATTAACACCCCAGATAAAATACATGGTATTTTCTTTCGCAGTCCACCCTCGTTCCGACAGGTGAAACAACTCGTCTTCGCTTTTTCATGGATGTATTAATGAAGAAAAGAGTGCCAATAATGTTGGTTGGCAGTGCTGGCTCAGGAAAGAGTGTTATAGTCATTGAAAAACTCGCATCTCTCCCCGATAATTACAACATTGCAAATGTTCCCTTCAATTATTATACAACATCCGGTGAGAACACCGTCAAAGACTGTCGGAAACAATTTCATTGACGAAAATAAGCCGTTTATTCTCATTCATTTCGTGTTAAATAACAGAAATGCTGCAACGAGTCCTCGAAAAGCATCTCGAAAAAAAAGCGGGACGCAATTATGCACCACCGGGGACGAAACAGTTGGTGTACTTTGTAGACGATATGAATATGCCGGAAGTCGATACCTACGGTACCGTACAACCTCATACGTTGATACGCCAACATATGGATTATAATCATTGGTACAGTCTCATTTATCTCCAATTAAACAATAGAATTATTTTATTACTGAAAGAGTAATGCTAAAATGGAATGCATAATTTTGTTGAAATTTCAAAATCAATACAAAACTCAATGAATTTTGTTTAATAATGATGCGTTTTTTTTTTCACATCCTTCAATCCCCAATTAAACAATATATTGTAATTATTCTCATTAAATTTCAACTGAAACTTTTGAAATGATCAGTTTTTACTAATAAATTTACAGCGCAAACTGTCACAACGCTAAATACATCAGGAGCTGTGATTTAAATTTGATAGATTACAATTAACGATGATTAAAAAATTGCGCTGAAATTATAGGGCATTAAAATATCAATATCGACATCCTCATTACGAATTTACCCCAGGTACGACCGGTCGAAGCTGACGCTGAAGGATATCCATAACACGCAGTACGTATCCTGCATGAACCCAACTGCAGGAAGTTTTACGATTGATCCACGTTTACAGAGGCACTTTGCGGTGTTCGCTGTTAGGTAACACCTTGTATAATTCATAAATTCTCCCCCCTCAATTCACCTCATTCCCAAGATATTTTCCCACAGCTTTCCCGGCCCCGACGCTCTAGTCACAATTTACAGTCAGATGCTGCAACAGCACTTGGCAAATCCACTTCAAAAATTCAATCCAATGCTGCAAAAAGTGGTGGAACCACTCATAAATGCCGCTCTATATACCCACGACAAAGTGACGACTAGTTTTCTACCAACTGCTATCAAGTTCCATTACACATTCAATCTACGTGATTTGTCAAATTTGTTTCAAGTAATGTTGTTATTTGTATAAGAGCGGTTGCCTCCGACCACTGGATATAACCCTTCATATACAAATATTGAGAAACTCGGTATAACACTAAATTGCAGGGCTACCTGTTTGCAAACGGTGAAACAATTCCCAATTTGAGTGCTGGTATACGCTTGTATGTGCACGAAGCTACCAGAGTTTACTGCGACAAGTTGGTTAATTTCGAGGACAAAAGGGCCTTTGAAGCACTCCTCCAGGATGCAATTCGGAAAAACATATCGGTTGGCAACTTCACTATTTGTATGCGCTCTTACACCGAGACATAATCAGCAATGAATACGCGAAATAGAGAATAGAATAGAGTAGCCACGAGAAATCCACTCAAAAGATTATTTTCACTTTTATAATTCCTACGATTTTTTACGAAATAGAAAAGGTCCAATGAAATACTATGAAATTTCAGTGTGATATTTATTTTCGAAAACTCCACCGACCATTTTAAATACAGATTGCTAACAATGCAGAGCGATTTCGACAGGTGTTAATTAATAATGAGGATTAATGCTTCAATTAATTTCAGGAGCTAGAGGAGACGACGGTATTTGCCAAACCCATTATTTATTCCCACTTTTCCGAGGGAATGGGCGATCCCAAATATATGCCAATTAGGGAATGGCCGCAGTTGATTAAATTATTGGAGGAAGCTGTGTTGAATTACAATGAATTAGTGAGGAAATCATTATGAAATTATATAAATGAAAATGCCGTTTATTGAGGGAAAAATTTCAGAAGAATTACCGTGAAAATAATGTGAAAATTGAAATTAATTTCTAAAGAAAAAATGTAATAGTGAAAATTCTGATCAGTGCCGCTTTCCAGATGAAAGATAATTTCCCCATTTCTTGCTTTTTGGTAATTTTTATTATATTTTTCTCTCAGTACAAATTTCTGATTATTAGGCACTGAATTTTCTATTATATCATGATGTGCGTCTTGGCCGAGTGTTGAATTTAATCAAATGAATTTTGAATTGGCAAATAATCAGGTGGCGACGATGAATTTAGTCATGTTTGAGGATGCGATGTGTCACGTCTGTCGTATAAACCGTATTCTCGAGTCACCGAGGGGAAATGCACTGCTAGTGGGTGTTGGTGGTAGTGGAAAGCAATCTCTATCTCGTCTAGCCTCTTTCATTTCAAGCCTCGAGGTGCAGTATAATTCCGAACGAATTGTCACAGGAGAATTTGGCAAACACAATTTTCACGAGCTCAAATATCATGCGTCTTGGTGTGGTACCCAATTCAGTTCATTCCCAGGGAAATAGACAGAGAACTATTTTCAAACTAAAACTGATGTTCTCGGTTGAAGAACAGTGCTCTACATTTACACTAAAAATATTTTCCATTCCATGACTTTCCCTGGCATTAAGTGAAACATATCGTTTGCTATTTGAATTCTACGAAATTTTATTTGATATTGAAATGTCTTTTGGTCATGGAAAAAATTATTTTTTTTTCTCATCAAGACACGAAGTTTCTCATTCTAAAATGTATATAATTTATTGAATTTCAATGCCAGGTATTCCAAGTACAATTGCGCAAAGGCTACTCGATAAGCGATCTAAGGGCTGACCTAGCAGGTCTCTACCTGAAAGCAGGCTTGAAGAACATCGGTATAACTTTCCTCATGACAGACTCTCAAGTAGCGCAGGAAAGATTTCTAGTCGTTGTCAACGACATGTTGGCCTCTGGAGAAATAGCTGAACTGTTCGCCGACGACGAAGTTGACAATATAGTGAACTCCGTGAGAAATGAGGTTCCTCAAAATTCAGTGAATATTTTCCTCTAAAGTCTCCCGGCAATCTTGCTGACAATCTGCTCTACACGTGTATTGCAAAAAATAAAATTATTCAATAACGCGATAGAAAATTGAGGAGGAAATCAACCCATCAAACCTCCCGAACTCCACCCCCATCCCCTGATTAACTCATTTATTTTTAATAGGTCAAGCAGACGGGAATGATGGACACGAAGGAGAATTGCTGGAAATTCTTTATCGATCGTGTACGTCGCCAATTGAAGTGCGTGCTGTGCTTCTCCCCAGTTGGTGCAACCCTCAGGAAGAGAGCCAGGCAGTTTCCTGCTTTGGTCAATTGCACGTCCATCAACTGGTTTCAAGATTGGCCTCGTGACGCCTTGGAATCGGTTTCCGCGCGTTTCATTGGGGTGATGATTCACACTATCAACATATTTTCATCCTGATACGAGGCAATATAATTGATCCCCAGGAATTGGAGGAGCTGCCAAGCCAATACCGCATATCCGTTTCCCGATTCATGTCTTACGTTCACTCCAGCGTTAACGAAATATCGGAAATTTACCTCCAGAACGAGAGGAGATACAACTATACAACCCCGAAGTCATTCCTTGAGCAGATATCCCTGTACTCAAAACTCTTATCCGAGAAAATAAGCAACTCCCAGGGGATGATTGGACGACTGGAGAACGGATTAACGAAACTGGCCTCTTGCGCTGAACAGGTACCAAACAATCGCCTCGCAGACGCGAAAGATCGATAATCCCCGGTGAAGGGGGAGGAAGGAGATTTCGCAAGGAGAATAAAAGCCATTTTCAATTTTCTCGCACGAACTAATCCAACTCGTACCCTCTCACTTTTCATATAAAATCCCTCACAGGTAGACGACCTGAAAGCGATTTTAGCTGTTCAGGAAGTTGACTTGAAGAAGAAGAACGAGATTGCTGACAAAATCTTGGCTGAGGTGACGGAGGAGAACACAAAAGCGGAAGTGGAGAAAGCGATAGGTAACAAACTCACTAGATTGCACGAAAAGTTACTGAGGAGTGTCATTGAGACTGGGGTTGGGGTTGGGAGAGAAAAGGAATTGGATAGACGTAAAACGGGCTGATTGTTCTCCATTGCGTTCACAAAGTTTCCGAGGAGGAAGTGAAGATAGCGGAGATTAAGGAGAGAGTATCAGAGAGGCAAAAACGGTGCGATGAGGATTTGGCCAAGGCAGAGCCAGCTGTACGTCAAGCTGAGGCTGCATTGGACACTCTCAATAAAGTAAATCATACATTTTTATTTGCTCCTCTCTTTTTTGCCCAACATTATATTCAAATGATTAATGAAATAGTATCAGCAGATGCAACAGTAAATATTTGAGAAGCTGAGGTTCTTGAAATAATCTCAATATTAGCCCTTGAAAATGTCTCTCCGTGTGGAATACATCTTCAGAGGTGGTGTAAGGATGCCCCCAATGATTAAACATTTGATATTGTTATAGAACAACCTAACCGAACTGAAATCCTTTGGCACACCACCGGAAGCCGTTGCAAACGTTGCGCAAGCAGTACTCGTTCTCTTTTCCCCAAAGGGCAAAGTCCCGAAGGATCGAAGTTGGAAAGCCTGCAAAGCGATGATGGGCGGTGCTGATGCTTTTCTCTCAGCTCTACGAAATTACGACAAAGAGAATATTCATCCGGACGTTGTGAAAGCCATACAACTCTACATCAACGATAAAGGTTGTCGTCTTTGTCATCTTACACTTCATTCATATTTCAACTCATTCGAGTATCGATTCACCCTAAACTAGAAAAAGGTCAGGCCGAATGAACTTGAGAAATCGCTCTCAATCAAGTCGATTTACCTCTTGATTCCAGCCCATCGAAATCAAGTGAAATGATATTGGAATAGGAAATTTCTCGTCGTAAATCAAATCGAAAATAAGCTAGCGTCAATAATTTTTTTTTGGGTGAGTTTGACAGCCTAAACTAATCTCTCTTCCAGAATTCGAGCCCCAATTCATCTACTCCAAGTCCCAAGCCGCCGCTGGGCTCTGCAGTTGGGTCAAGAACATTATGGTCTTTCATTACATCAATGAAAGCGTGAAACCATTGAGACAGGCGTTGGTCCAGGCTAATGCTGAATTGAAGACCGCCATGGAGAAACTCACAGCCCTACAGTCACGGTTATCGGTGATTAATGTCCTTCCATCATCAATCATCGAGTATCAGCCTTAATTATCATTCGATGGATTTCAGGAACTGCAAAAAGTATTGGAAGTCCTCGGGGCTAAGATGAGTACGGCCCTTGGGGAAAAACAAAAGTGTCAGGATGAGGCTGATGCCACTGCATTGACTATCGATCTGGCTAACAGATTGGTCAATGGTCTAGCTTCGGAGAAAGTTAGATGGATTGAAACTGTTGCCTCGTACGTATTCCCAGGACCATTCCACAATTTACAGATCCTCCCAGGATTTCACTTTCTCTTCACAGAAACTTCACTCATGAATATATGCCGCATAAATGGTTTTTTCTTTGAATTTACGAAAAAACCACTTTTCAATCAAATAATTATTTAAAACGACACGATCAATTTCCAGATCCCAATTAAATTGTACCCAGAGTTCAGTATTCATTCGACTTTCAAGACCTCTGAAAATCAATTGATAAGACGCCATTGTTACGCGTAATTCGTCGACTTGAATTAATCCCCTAATCACAACCAATTGTTCCCAGGCTGAAATCATCGAGCGTAACAATTCCGGGTGACGTTCTCGTGGTGACAGCATTTATATCATACGTCGGTTGTTTTACACGAAAATACAGACAAGACCTATTGAATATCCACTGGTTACCGTTCCTGGATAAATTGGAGACCCAAATACCCCGGACTCCCGATTTAGATCCACTCTCATTGTTAACGGACGACGCGCAAATTGCACAGTGGAACAATGACGGTACAGTCAATTCATCTGTATTGCCAATCCGGCTTTCAATACCAGTGGAATGAGCGAGCTTTTATTGTAGAAATCCCCAACTATTCTCCTCAATTAGGTCTACCGGCTGACCGGATGTCAGCAGAAAATGCGACTATCCTGACGAATTCGTCCAGATGGCCGCTAATGATTGACCCCCAATTGCAAGGACTCAAATGGATTAAAACCACATACGGTGATAGTTTGAGAATCCTGAGACTGTCCCAGAGAAATTATCTCGATCGAATTGAATTTGCAATATCCAACGGCGATGTTGTTTTATTGGAGAACATTATGGAGAGTGTCGATGCAGTCCTGGACCCAATCTTGGGTAGAGTGCTCATAAAAAAAGGCCGGTAGGTACATGTGAGGCAGTTGTCAAAAGCTTTCGGAACTGAATCTCTCCGTCGTTCGTCACATGTGTCTGTGGCCCCTTACCGGAATGCCCTTCTCCCTTCAATCCGAGATAACGCTTCTTTTCCTTCTTCTAAAATGGCTTTGCTATACCCTAAACCCTTCTCACCTATTTCGGCATTCCTCTCATTCTTTATTTTTATCGTTCTCCCTTTTCTCCCGCAACCTCTCGATTTTTTCCTTCCCTATTCGCTCCATTTTTTTCTCCTCTTCTTCCTTTCGTTCCGAATTAAGAGCTCTCCGTGCATTCCTTGCATTTATTCTCCAGTCCCAAGTCAGCTACAATAATTCCCCTGCTACTATTATTGTAATTATGTTATTATTTATTTTTGATTTATCTGCGTCTGCCATACACGGTTTTTGTTAGCATTTTTTTTCCTCTTGTTATGGTGTTCGTTCTCTTCATTTTTTTAAATATAGGTCTCATATCTCTTGAATAATCAACAGGCCCTTAATCTGTACCCTAAATTCTTCTCACCTTCTTTCGCTCTTTCTATTTCGGTATTTCTATATTTCTCCTGTTTCTCCTGCAATCTCTCTATTCTTGCTTTCCTTTTCTCTCCCCTCATTGCCGTTTCCTCTTTTCTCTCGAATTAAGAAGCCTCCGGTGTGCATTTCTTGCATTTATTCTTCAGTATGAAATTAACTTGGAGAATTTCCTTACCACCATTATTATAATAACGCTATTATTTATCTTCAATTTGGCTTGCATGTTTTTCTCGTAATTATTTAGTCAATAAAACTCGATGAGTGAAAGTATGGTAATGATGTCGAAATGATAAAACCGATGGATTTTATAACAGAGCAATCAAGATCGGGGATAAAGAAGTGGACTTCAGTCCCAAGTTTCGTCTGGTCCTCCAGACTAAATTAGCAAATCCACATTATAAACCAGAGATGCAGGCGCAAACAACACTGATAAACTTTACTGTCACCAAGGACGGCTTGGAGGAACAATTACTGGGTGATGTTGTGAAGGCTGAACGTCCAGACTTGGAGAGCACAAAGGCTGAGCTCACTAAGCAGCAAAATACCTTCAAGATAACACTGAAAACGTTGGAGGACGATTTGTTACACAGGCTCTCATCAGCTGGGCCAAATATCCTCAGTGACGTTGCTCTAGTCGTTAATCTTGAGACAACAAAGAAAACAGCTGCTGAGATTGGGATTAAAGTTGCTGAGGCTAAAGTGACTGCTGTGAAAATCGATGAGGCGCGTGAATGCTATCGTCCAGCAGCCTCCAGAGCCAGCTTACTCTATTTCATTCTAAACGATCTCAACAAAATCAATATGCTCTATCAGTTCTCCCTCAAGGCCTTCAGCATTGTGTTTCAAAATGCTATTAAATTTGCCGAGGAATCCGATAATATCGCTAAGAGAGTTGGATTATTGATTGAGAGCATCACTTATCTCGTTTTTATGTACACCAGTCGAGGACTCTTTGAGAGCGATAAACTTATATTTCTCTGTCAAATGACTGTGCAGGTGGGATTTATTATTCAATGATGTCGAGAATTCCGTAGTTGAGTGGTGGAACATAGAAGATGAATATGAAATTATACTCGTCGCTGATAAGAGACGGATGAAAATCATCTTCATAAAATTATGTCAATTCTGAAATTTATCTTCTCTTGATCTGCTACTTTACTAGTGAATTCATGATTGCACCATGCATCGAGATTCTTTTACAGTCAGATATCTTCACTTGCTCATCAAATTTTATTGACCCACATCCCTAGATACTTCTGCAAACCAATGAAATTCTACCCGATGAACTTGACTTCCTTCTCCGATATCCCTATAAACCAAATGTCCAGACTCCTGTCGACTTTCTCAACAACACCAGCTGGGGTGGAATAAAGTTTCTCAGTGAAATTGACGATTTCCGGAATCTCGATCGTGATATCGAGGGCGCCGCCAAAAGGTGGAAAAATTTTGTTGAATCGGAGACACCTGAGAGGGAGAAATTTCCACAGGAGTGGAAAAATAAAACTGCCTTTCAGAGATTGTGCATTTTGAGGTGTTTGAGACTCGATAGGATGACTTACGGAATCCGGTAAGAAATAAACTCAAAGAGAGCAATTCCTTGAAATAATTTCTGTGCTAGCCAAAACGAAGGACTAGAAAAGGAAAAGGAAAATTCCACTCGCATCACTCAATTTGTTATTAAATAACCGGCAAATTGTTTTAATCCATTGCATAATTTCAAATGGAATTCAATTCCAACGCAGGTGCTTTGTGGAAGAGAAAATGGGACAAAAATTCGTGGATTCGCGTTCGCCACCGTTCGAGAAATCGTTTGAAGAAACAAGTGCATTAACACCGGTATTCTTCATCCTCTCACCGGGCGTTGACCCCTTAAAAGTATTGATTTCACTGCTCACCCACTGAATTCCCTCAATCCCTCATAATTAACTAAACTCAACGATTTCTCAAGGATGTAGAGAAATTAGGAAAGCAATTGGGCTTCACCTTCGATCGAAAGAACTTCCACAACGTATCATTGGGTCAGGGTCAGGAGCCAGTTGCTGAAGAATCGATGGATGTGTCGGCGACAGAGGGCCACTGGGTGATACTCCAGAATGTTCATCTAGTGAAGAGTTGGCTGGCAAATTTGGAGAAGAAAATGGAACAGTTGTCCGAGCATCCACACACCGACTATCGTTTATTCATCAGTGCCGAGCCCAATGCGGATCCCCATGAATCAATAATACCCCAGGTACATCTCCAATCCAGGGTGCATTGGATCATCTATTATTGCAGTGGTATCCGATCTGTAATGGTTTTCGATATCAACAGGGAATTTTAGAGTCCGCTATAAAGATAACGAATGAACCACCAACTGGTATTCACGCCAACATTCACAAGGCTCTGGACAATTTCACTCAGGCAACTCTGGACTCTTGCTCAAAAGAGTCAGAATTCAAAGGTATTCTCTTTGCGTTGTGTTACTATCACGCTGTCGTTGCCGAGAGGAGAAAATTCGGACCTCAGGGATGGAATCGAGTGAGTTTTCATGAATTATTCGGTGAACAATGGCTTTCGAGGCACTCGTTCTGATAACATCACCGACAAAAAAATTCAATTGATCTCGATTTTTCTGGGAGATTCATTCTATTGAGATATTTTCTATTGAAATTTCTCGACGTGAATTTTTCAACTTTTTTTTCGACTGCATTTTTTACGTTCGCTCATTAACTATTTGCGGTGTACTTCGGCTACCGAGGATATCGGGCATTCGCTGCCGATGAATTCAATCACTTCTGGTCAATAGACAGTTGTGAATATGATATTTCGTTGAAGATGAAGTATTTTTAAGCACGATGTCAGAATTCCATCGAATTCCTTCTGACAGTTTTACAAATAATCGACTTTGCACCGAACTCCTCGGTTACATGTGTCGACACCGTGTGAAATAGAAAATTAGAAATGAAAATCAATTTAAATGATTAAATTTCCGATCGTAATTACATTTCAATGTGCCTCGCCTGTCTGTCTGTTCTCAATTTCCCCACAAGTACATTAATAGCAGACAGGTAAAAAAACGTCTGAAAATTTGTGTTTCGCCTGGATTCAGAGATATTCCTGGGAGACCTAGTTGTTATTTAAATTGACCTGTCCTGTTTATTCTATATATATACTTTTCGGTTAAAGATTAAACCAAAAATTCAGTATTCATAAAATATGTTGTGCACTCTATGTTATGCACTCGTGTTTACCTCAACCGTTATCTGTATCTCTCTGAAGAATCGAGTTATCTTTGTTTTCCCAGAAAATTGGGCTTTTCCCCAAATTGAAAATTTCCAGATATATCCATTCAACGTTGGCGACTTAACAATCAGTATTTCCGTACTGTACAACTACCTGGAGAGCACCACGAAAGTACCCTGGGAGGACTTGCGCTACCTCTTCGGTGAAATAATGTACGGTGGACACATAACGGACGACTGGGATCGTCGCCTCTGTCGAACATATTTACTAGAGTACCTCCAACCCGATCTTATCGATGGCGATCTTAGCATAGCTCCGGGTTTCTTAGCACCGCAAAACAGTGATTACGCTGCTTATCATCAGTACGTAGATGACTATCTTCCACCAGAGAGCCCAATACTCTACGGTCTCCATCCCAACGCCGAAATCGGCACGATAACCATCATAAACTCTTTAAAAATCCTCAAGGATTTACCCATTTTTTCACGTCCAAGGAAAATTCCGTCCATTTTCTGACGCATCGTCAGATGTCATCGGACGTGAGATTTATTTCTCTTCGAGTTTTGATTATTGTTCGAGTCATGGAGAATAAATGATTTTTCCTCGGATAGTTGTAATTTTGGATAAACATCCTTGCGAAAACAAAGTTAATAACATCGTCAACATGCGAAACACTGTTTCCCCCAGGTTTTCTCACAACGACGTCTGAGAATTTGTTCAGAGTGGTTTTAGAAATGCAACCAAGAGACACCGGCGAGGCATCCGGTGGTGGTTTTTCCCGTGAAGACAAAGTCAAAGGGATAATCGAGGAGCTCGTTGACAAGCTGCCTGAGGAATTCAATATCCAAGAGTTTATGAGCAAAGTCGACGACCTGACACCCTACACGATAGTGGCTTTCCAGGAGTGCGAGAGAATGAATATCCTGTGCAACGAGTTAAAACGATCGCTCCACGAGTTGAACCTTGGATTAAAGGTAAACTCAGTAGTGTTTATCTACCGCTGATTGATGTAATTGAATCGAACCACTAGGGAGAACTGACCATCAATGCCGACATGGAGGACCTGCAGAACTACTTATTCATGGATAATGTGCCTCCCTCATGGACGAAACGTGCTTATCCCTCGAGTCTGGGCTTGACTGGTTGGTTTGTTGATCTATTAAACAGAATCAATGAATTGGCCAATTGGACGACGGATTTCAATGTTAGTGGGATGAATAAAATGGACGTTATGGGTGATTATTTGACTGGTTTATTTGTTGCAGTTGCCGGCATCGGTGTGGCTTGGGGGATTCTTCAACCCTCAGTCCTTCTTGACTGCAATTATGCAGCAAACAGCTAGGAAAAATCAATGGCCGTTGGATAAAATGTGTTTACACTGCGAAGTTACTAAAAAGCTGAGGGAGGATTTTAATTCTCCACCTCGCGAAGGGGCTTATATCAACAGTTTGTACATGGAGGGGGCACGATGGGATACACAAGCTGGCACTATAGCTGAGTCGAAATTGAAGGAGTTGTTCCCCCAAATTCCCGTGGTTTACATCAGGGCTATTACTCAGGACAAACAGGAACTCAGGAATATGTATGAGTGTCCGGTTTATAAGACCAAGTTCCGGGGGCCGACTTATGTTTGGACTTTCAATTTGAAGACTAAGGAGAAGGCAACTAAGTGGACCCTCGCTGGCGTTGCTATATTGTTGCAGATTTAAATCTCTACCTGAAATATGAAATACTTCATGACTATTTGTCTTCTATTTTCAAATTTACAATCTGCGGAAGTTTAAATAAAAAATTTGGACTTCACGGTTAACATCGGAATAATTATTTTATTCGAAAATAGACTAGCAAGAAAGTGAAGTCATTATTCATTAATTTAGGGTTTTTCTTTTTTTTTATGATAATAATTTATATCATTATAACGGCACGAGAAAGTTATTTTAATTAAAAACTCATTGCAAATTAGATCTCTAGTTTCGATAGACGTGAAAATTGTGGGAAATAATTGAGAATTTTTTTAGGGTCGTGGGGAGATGGAGAGTTCTGTTGAATGTGTTGGACTTTGTTGCAGTGATATTGATCCCGAATTATTTTACTGTGTTATTTTATCAGGTGGGAGTCACTCAATGGTGGGGAAGATGTTCAGGCGCCTTTTTATTTGAAGCTAGATTCCTTCGTAATTAAGGTAGGGACAGGT